GGGGGGGCTGAGAGAGTTGGGGGGGTCAGCCTGGAGAAGAGAAGGCTCCGGGGAGACCGCGCCAGGTTGGAGCCCCTGCCAGTCCCTCAAGAAGGGGGGCTCCAGGAAAGCTGGGGAGGGACTCTGGATGAGGGAGGGGAACCCCAGGAGGAGGGGGAAGGGTTGGACACTGCAAGAGGGGAGATGGAGCTGAGCTGTGGGGAAGAACTTGTTTGGTGGGAGGGTGGTGAGAGCCTGGCCCAGGTTGCCCAGAGAAGCTGTGGCTGCCCTATCCCTGGAGGGGTTCAAGGGCAGGTTGGAGGGGGCTTGGAGCAACCTGGTGTGGTGGGAGGTGTCCCTGCCCAGGGCAGGGGGTGGCACTGGGGGGGCTTGAAGGTCCCTTCCCACCCAAACCACCCTGTACAGACTCGATGACAGCTCCTCCACCGCGGGGACACTGGCCCCAGGGAGCAGCTCTTGCCCAGGTCATTGCTGCCACCTTTGAGCACTGGTAGATGCTCCACGGGCTCTGGGGGAGAGGGAGGGTGTCAGGGAAGGGGCTGCAGAGATGGGGCTGTGGGGCAGGAGACACTGCCTGCCCCCCCAGTAAACCCCATGGCTGTCAGTGTCCATGGGCCAGGCAGGGAGGGCACAGGAAGGGCACAGTGGGGGCCCAGAGCAGCCCCCCCCCACCCCCCAGCACAGACGGTACAGCGTTGCCTTCATCCTCCAGTTTTAATGGTCGCTGTGGGGTGGGGGGGCTGGTGGGACCCCCCCCACCCCGGGGCCAGCCCCACACTGCAGCCAGCACAGTGCCACCAGGCTGGGACCCCCCACCTCCCGTGTCCCCCATCTGCTCCCCGAGCCCGGTCGGGGCTGGTCCCTCATCTGCTTCACAGTCTGCTTGGGGGAGTAACGGGGGCCGGCCTGGGGGGGTCCATCCTGGGGCCAAGGGGCTACAGGAAGCCCGGGAAGGCAAGCTGCAGCAGCAGGATGGTGGCCACGATGAGCCCGGCGCAGAGGAGCAGCAGCAGCCAGACGGGGAGGGAGCCTGTGGAGGAGAGAGGGGTGAGGACTAGAGGGCTGGGGGCTCCCCAACACACACAGAGACCCCCCCCGGGTACCCACGCCGGCTGGGCAGCAGATGCAGCTTGCAGCGGCTGTCGACGGCCACGCTGAGCAGGGCGGCCTCGTTCCCTGCCAGCAGCTCCCGCCCGCCCCGGCTCTCGGGGACGAAGGCCACGTCCGTCACCACGATGCCGTGTGCCTCCTTCACGTAGTACAGCCTCTGCGGGACAGCAGCGGGAGGTGGCCGAGGCAGCCCGGCCCCGTGGGGGGGTCACCGGGGCTGCCCCCCACCCCCCAAGAAGTCCCGCCGCCCCCCAGCTCACCTGCAGCGAGAAGGCGATGTGGATGGCGACGGAGCCCGTCACCGTGCCCAGCCCCAGGAAGGTGCCCGAGTCGCTGTGGGGGTGGAAAGGACAGTGAGTGGGGGGTGACAGGACCCCTGTCCCCTCCCCCAGATCCCCCAGGGTACCTGACGGAGAGGCAGGAGATGACCTCGCTGCCGCAGGGCCGGGTCAGCAGCGGCAGGAAGCTCTTCCCGTCCCACTTGGTGAGGTAACAGGGTGGGGGGCGGCGCTCCCGCTTGTGGGGCACCTGTACCGTGTAGAGCCGCAGGGCCCCGGCGTCGTCCTCCACCGCCCCGAACCTGCCCCGGGACAGCAGGGGCTGCGTCGGTCCCTCCCTCCAGCACCCCCCCTGGCGATGGGGGCCCGGTGCCGGGCGCCCCCCGGCCTCACCGGCAGGCCTGGTAGCGGTACGCCTTGTCGGGGATGCCGGGCAGGTTCTCGTTCCAGCGCAGCCCTGTCACCAGCTGGTCCTGCTGCCACACGCAGCACTGGAAGTCCCGTCCCGCCGTCACCACCTGGGCAGAGAACACGGGGGTCCAACGGGGTCTCTCCCCGTGGGGCTGGGGGGGAGCTGCCCGCTCGTCTGCCCACCCCTCACCTTGTTGTCAGGGCCCAGGGCGATGTCTTCGATCTCCCCGTCGTGGGCTTTGAACTCCAGCGTCTTCTTCATGCTGGGGAACTGTGGGGGCAGAGTGGGCATCAGGGCTGCCCCTTGGGGCCAGGGCTCCCCCCCAGTCCCGGGTAAGGGGTCAGGTGTTACAGAACGGCAGGGGTGGATGTGGGCCTGGCCGTCCCCGGCTGCCCCTGTCCCTACCTCCCAGAGGCGCAGGAAGCCATCGGCGCCGCCGGTGACGAGCAGGGAGGCGTCGGCGTTGAAGCGTACGGCCTTCTGCAGGGCGTCGGGGCTGAAGTCGGTGCGGACACTGTGCAGGCTCTCCACCGTCACCTCACCGCTCTGGCTCTGCGTCTCCCCCTGCCCCGCCAGGCTCGGGCCCTTCCGCCGCCGCGGCCCCTTCTCTCCGCTGCCTGCCGTGGGGAAGAGGGAGCCGTGACACAGCGCCCCACGGCCAGGGGGGCTGGGGCAAGGCAGGAGACCCCCGAAGCACCCCACAGAGCACCCACCCCGCAGTCCCTGCCCAGCAGCACCGGGGCTCTCACCGTTGCGCCCGTCGGAGGCGGCACGGGTCTCGGGGGGCTGCAGGCGGAAGCGCAGGATGTGGCAGGAGGCGTCCTGCCCCGCCGCGATGATGTCGTCAGCCAGCGCCATGGTCATGGTGGCGCGGGTCTCGGTGTCGTGGGAGTGCAGCAGCGAGGCGCTGAGCTGCCCCCCGATCTGCTCCAGCTGCAGGAAGTGCTGCCGGAGGGGGGGGCCCAGCCTCAGACCCCACACCCGCCACC